AATATAATCCACTCTGCAACCCTCATTGCATACTAATATGTTTACGGCATTGAAGTCTATGGGGGAGAGAATAGTCTAAAAGTATTATATTTTAGGGTATTATTTTTATCATAGAATTAATTTTTAATCTCAGTTAAGAGTTAATAAGAGATAAATTGATGTTTTAATTCTTCTGGATGTTTTATTCATTTCAATGCTAGAAAATCTTGTGAGACTTTTAATTCAATGTCAATACAGTTTTTAATAAGAATTGATAGTGCTTGTTATTAAAAGTTTGTAATCCATCTTAAACACTATGCTGTTTAAACACTGTGCACCGCTGAGTGGGAACCAACTCATAGCTGACCCTCCATTGGGTTTTAAAAGACAATAAATAGCATGGGAAGAGATTGCTCATTGGATATAATTAAAACATGTTATAAATAAATTATACAAGAATGACACAGAGAGGGAACAAAATAGAAAACAAATTATAAAAACCATAAAGCAAAATTTAAAATAATTAGTTTTTATAAAGCTAAAAAATACTGCCTCTATTAATTTGTTGTTGTTGTTAGGTGCCATCATGTTGAGTACAACTCATAGTGACCCTATGAACAAAAGACCTGAACCTTTTCCTGTAACTATCATCATTCCTCTAGTGTTCATAGGGTTTCAAAGGCCTACTCTTTTTTAAGAAGTGTATGCCAACTCTGCCTCCAAGTCTGTCTTAACCTGGAAGCTTTACCAAACCCTGCCCACCATAGGTAACCCTTATGGCATTTGACACACCAGTGGCATGCCTTTCAGTATCACGGTAAACCCAAGCTGATTGGTCTTTTGGATTTAGTAACAATCACCTGTGGGCTGAAAGTGTCTTGCTTAAATCAATCAGTACCTGGTGGGAGGGACTTATTATTTAAAAGTTGGTTGGGTCCTAACTAATTCTCTAGTTTGGAGGTTTTTGTATGAAGCAATTGGTTGATATTAATACAGAGACTGATAATTATTATATGGTCATTTTAGATATATAGATACTGAATAAACTTTACATTAAACTATTGTTGCTGTTGATTGTTGTGGAGTCGAGTATGACTCTTAATGCCCCTATGAACAAAAGACCTAAAAGCCTTTCTATACTATGGTCATTTATCAATGTTCATAGATTCCAGAGGCATGTTGTTTAGGAAGAAGATGCCATTCCTGCTTACAATGCTTTAAAATAATAATTTTTATTTTCTTATTTTTAGCCAAATCTAATTTTAATATTTTTTAGAAATATTAAAAACATCATGCCCACCACCACCTCACATTCCCAATGCTCGAGACATGACAACAACAGTGAATTATCAGAATGGAGAAAAGGTGTCTCTTCTCTGCCAAGAAAATTACCTAATTCAGGGAACCGATGAAATTCTGTGTCAAAATGGAAGATGGCAGTCAATACCACGTTGTTTTGGTTAGTAGTTTTAAATGTGCTTTACAACATCCTTCTAAAATGAGGTCAATATTATTCTGTGCTCTTCAAAATTGAACAAGAATTTTAAACACATCTTTTTATATCTATTCCTCTTTATTTAAAGCAGCATATTACAATCAGTGTACATAAATTAATCAGTGTTCTTTCATATATTCCAAGATAAATACAAAAGACTTAGTTATATTCTTTAAAAACATAAATTTTTGTTATTTAATTCATCAAGAACAAGTCAATAATGGAGATATCATTCAAAATGTCTTCAAGAAGACAATCACATAAATGTTGTAAGGATATTTATTATTGCAAAATCTACACAGTTGTTGTTGTGAAGTAGTATTATGTACTTAAATTTTCTATGTTTTAAAATTCTTGATATTTCATTTTACTATATTGATTTTTCATATAAAATATATTTGATTCACCATTTGATCTCTGTTGTTCATTTAGAAAAAATTCCTTGTTCTACACCACCTCATATTGAACATGGATTCATTAACTCAGCAAGATCGTCAGAAAATGAGAAGGAATCATCTGAAACCAAATATCCACATGGGACTAAATTAACTTATATTTGTAAAGATGGTTTCAAAGTCTTAGAAGAAAATGAGATAAGATGTGACATGGGAAAATGGAGTACTCCACCTCAGTGTGTAGGTGAGTGCATGTGGCCAGTAAAATTCTGTTTTCAAAATAAATTCTTAATAATGATCAATGTTTACTGAAAGCATAATACAATTTAAATATATATGTAATTATATCTCTCACTGTTGAAAGTGATTTGCATGATCTGATCAATCATATTTATGCAAATTTCTTGGACACAGAATTTCTAAACAGTATCACTTATTTTGTCTTAAAACGTAATTGATTGTATAATTAAACCTATATATTTATATAGGTTATAGCATTTGTCTTGTCAGTCAGGGTTTAGAAAATTTTTTTAATTTGTACAAAAAATTTCTATCTCTCTTTCTTTCTTTCTTTTTTACTAGTTTATTTAAAAAATTCTAATAGAAATTTGAAATATTCTTTCAATTTCCCTCACCGCCCCATCAAATTATACAACCCAATGATTAACCCCTCTTCCCCCTGTACATTCACATCCCTCTGCTTCCAGCATCTCCCACCCCTCCTGGATCCTTATACTCATTCTACAATAATGGTCTTATACAAGATTTTTCTTTGTGGGACTGAGTTTGTTCACTCAGCATAATGCTTTCCAGTCCCTCCCAAGTTAGGTAATAATCTACAAAGTTATTGCTCCTGCATGCTGCATAGCATTCTGTTGTGTGAATTTACCATAATTTATCAATCCATTCGTTTGTAGTTGGACATATGGGATGTTTCCATGTTCTTGCGATGGTGAATAATGCCACTATGAACAGAATGTTTTTAAAAAAAATTTCTCCCAAATGTTCCTTTTGATTTTTTGCAATAGTGCATATCTTAGAATCATTCATCTTCAATGTTTCCTGTTCATTCTCATGACTATTTAAGAGAAGTGTAGATTACATTGTTCATAAATTCCATAATGCAAGGGTTTTTTATGATTGTGATAGAGTGTAGAATGTTAGATTTAAAAAGTGCTTGTACACTTTCATTGTGGTGTGATAGTAATAGTTGTTCAGTTTTTCAATGTTCTCCCTATTTTATTGACCTCTTTCAAAGAACCAGCTCTTGGTCTTGTTGATGGTCAATTGTTTTTCTCTTTTCTCTCTCATTGATTTCAGTCCTTCTACTTATCATTTCCTTTATTCTAGAGTCTGTGAGGTTTGATTGTTGTTCTTTTTCTATTAGGTGGAGATATTGAGTGAGGGAATGAATTTTGCTTTTTTCCCCCTATCTTTTCATGTATTTTCCTTTTGCTATAAACTGCTACCAGACACAGAATTGCTTTAGCTGCATCCAGAGGTTTTGGCACATTGTATTTTCATTATCATTTGTTTCAAGGAACTATTTTATTTCTTTTAAAAAATTTTTTTCTATTAGTCATGTTCTAGCTGGTAATTGTTATCTTTCAACCTTCCGTACATGGTATCCTGTTGTCGTCTGGCTCTCATGATTTCTCCTTAGAAGTCAGAACTTAGTCTAATTTAATTTCTTCTGTTGGTGACTCTGGTTGTTGGTTTGTTTTTTGTTTTGTTTTTGTTTTTGAGCTACTTTTAGTATTCAATATTTATCTTTTACTTTGGATAATTTGACTATCATAAATCTTGAAGTGTTTCTTTTGGGATCTAGTCTGTGTGGGTTTCTTTGAGCTTCTTGAATGTAGATTTCCTTGTTCTTCATAATGCCTGGAAAGTTTTCTTCTACTATCTCTTTAAGACTTTTCCCTTTCCTTTGCCTGTCCTCTCTTGTTCTGGGAGTCTGATCTTACATATATTGTTCTTTTGATGTTATTCTACTTATTCTATTGTTTTCTTCATTTTCTTTTTGTTTCCTTTATGTTTTCTCTCCTAGTATGTTCCATTGATATCCTTATTTTCTAGCTTACTGACACTGTTTGATGTTTTTATTTCTGTTTTTTCTCCCCTTTAGCATGTTGGCTACTTCTCTCTCTGTTGTTTGTTGATTTTTTTTAATTTCTTGTACATTTTTACCTATAGCATTAATTCTTTCTTCAATCATTCTTTCAATTTCTTTAGTAATTGTATATATTTCTTCTGGCTCCCTGTCTCTGGGATATTTGCTTTGTTTATTGCTTCCATTCTTTCTTCCATTATTTCCACCTTTTTCGGTAGCTATTCACATAACTTTAGTTCATTGTATTTCTTCTGGACACTGTCTTTGGGGTGTTTGCTTTATTTATTGTTTCCTTTTTTTCTTCCACTATTTATAACTTCTGTAGCTGTTCATGACTCTGTGTCTCTGTCTCTGGGATGTATGAATTATGTTCTATATTTTTAGGAAAGCTTATTTTAGCATCTTTCAATATTTTGACTCATGGATTAAATTTGCTTTGCAATTCTCTCAGCTTGAGAAATGTAGAGCTAGTTTTCCTCTTTCCATTTCCCAATTCCAGCTCTCTGCACATTCCATTACAATTCTTTGCTTTGGCTTCTCAACCTTCCCCTTGAAATCTTCTCTTCGGCTCTTTTACCTGAGCATCTTTCCCCTTTGTTTTAGGTTCTCAACGTGCTAGTGCAAATTTCAGAGTCTCTTCTGATATCTATTTTATGTTTTTTTCTCTCTTCTCTGTCTTTGGAATGACCTTTTGCTTTCTTTATAGATAATATCCTCAATGTCATGCCACAGGTAATCTGGCCTTTGGTCATTGTTGTTCAATCCTTCAAACCTATTCTTAAGATGATTTTGAAATGAGGGTGGAATAGACTTAAGAAAATAATTTGGTTCTCATGGATTTCATTTTCGTTAGCCTCAACTTGAACTTGCACATAAGTATTTGATGATCTATTCCACAATCAACTCCTGGGCTAGCATTGATTGCGGATATTGAACTTCTTCAAAGATTTCTTCACAGATATAGTCAATCTTATTCCTATGTTATCTGGTGAGGTCCATGTGTAAAGTTGTCATTTGTGGTTTTTCTAAAACATTATTTCAGTGTATAAATCATTGAACAACAGAAGTTGTCCATTCTATTTCTAGCTGTATTTCTGCCACCCATTTCGTACATTCTTACTAGCAGTTCTTCTTCTTTGGTTCCAACTATTTCATTTTAGTAACCAATTATTATTTAAGGCATCTTAATTGCATGTTTGGTTAATTTTAGACTGCAAAATCTGGTAAAAATTTTCAATTTCCTCCTCTTTTGCTTTAACTACAAAAGCATATATTTTGGTAACAGTTGCATTACAGGTCTTCTTTGTATGCATATGGATAATATTCTAACACAGCAATAGACTTCAGGATAGAGTTTAAAATTGACTTTTTAACTATAAATTCAACAGCATTCGTCTTCTGTTATTCATTTCCAGCATGGTTTACCTCATGATTATTTGATTCAGAGTGATCAAAGCTTGTCCATTTCATCTCACTAATGTCTAGAATGTTAATGTTCATGAATTCCATTTTCTTTTTCACAATTTCTGATTTCCAAGATTCATGCTCTGTACATTCCATGTTCCAATTATTAAAGGGTGTTTGTCACTCTTTTTCTTCATTTGTATTTACTTTCAATCTGGACTTTATTATTACGACTATTCACATTCCTCTACTGTTCATAAGATTTTCAGAGGCCTGTTATTTGAGCAGTGAATTGCCAATACTGTCTCTTAGTCTCTCTTAATCTGAGAGCATGACTAAAGCCTGTCCAACATGGGTGACCTGGTGACCTTAGACACACTGGAAGCATAGCTTTCTGGATCATAGCAACCCACAAATTACTTCAGTACTGCAAATTTACAGACATGTTCTGTACTAAGCAGAACAATTAATTCCCCAAATACTGAAAATTCCCCATCAAACTGACAATCTACCTCAAATAGGAAATTGGGAATTGTGTTCCTGGGTGGCTGTTGAAACATTCTGTTGAGACTCATGACCTGCATACTATCTCCTGCATGTGGATGTTAATTTAAGGTCATGTGAAAGTCTCTTCTGACTCTTTACTTCTAGTGTTTCACACAAAGCCTAAGGTTCACAGGCTTAAGGGCCCAATGAATTGTTAATCACAAAGAACCACCTTTCTGGTCTTAATTACTTTAATTAAGAGGCTTCTAGCCTCTTAATGGATTGACACAGTGACTACCACAATTAATTCTAATGTGTTAGGAATTGTGTTGTGGCACAGGATATGGCAAAGGTCAGATCTGTTGTTTATAGGGTTGTTATGGGTTGTACTCAATTCAACAGCACCTAACAACAACAGCCCCCAACTGATTGCTAATCAGAAAGGTCTGTCCCTAATCCCAACTGCTTTAATTAAGAGGCTTCCAGTTAATAAAATACTGTTTAATGGCCCATCTGCATTTGGTGAAAGTTTTACCACTTCATTGCCATTTTTGATACCTCCTATTTCCATCTATTGCCTTATTTACCTGGCTGTAACTTTCAGTAAATTATTGAATAGGAGCTGTAATAGCACACAGCTTTGTCTAAGCCATAAAAGAAAGTTTTTAGTCTCTCCCTTGAGAATGTTTTGTTATTACATATGTACTCTTAACTATGTTGAGGAGATTCATCTATCTTTCTAAATTTCTGTGTGTTTTAGTCAAGTAGGGGTGTTGGATTTATTGAAGGCTTTTTCAGCGTGATTTGACAGGATCACATTGCTATTATTCTTTGCTTTGTTAATCCCTGTATTCCTGTTGTGCAACCCACTTGATTATGATTTAATATTTTTTTTTCTATGCTATTGATGTCTATTGGCCAAGATTTTGTTAAGGATTTTTGTGTCTATGTCCATGAGCAATATTATTCAATAGTTGTCTTTTTTTTTGTCATGTCTTTGCCTATTTTTAGTATTAATGTTGTGCTTGTTTTATAGAATAACCCTGGAAATTCTTATTTTTCTATTTATTGAAATAATTTAAATGGTATTAATGATAGTTTACCTTTGAATGTTTGGTAGAATTAATTTGTATAGCCAGTAGGCCAGAACATTTGGGGGAGTTTTTTGGGGTGGAGGTGTAGGAGGTTGGATTCTTTTTATGAACTGCTTAATTTCTTATTTTGTAATAGGTCTGTTCAAG